CAGTTAGTATGCGGCTGTGTCAGGATTGGAATCCACGTCCTTGCAAAGAATTTCCACCACCCAGGACTCGGCTGGGAGGGTGGCAGGCGTGAAGCAGGCAACCGGCCAGGAACCCTTCTAGGAGGAGGCCAAGGAGGCCGACTGCGCCCCAGGTGCCCCCACCCCCAGACGGCAGCTCAGCGCCCAGCAGTCCTGGCGGAAGCGGCGCACCGAGAAGCAGTAGATGAGCGGGTCCAGGCAGCTGTTGAGACTCAGCAACGCCAGGCTGAGGGTGTGCAGGACGTCGAGCGTGGAGGTGGCCCGGCACCCGCTGCCTTCGCGGCTCGTGGCGACCTCCTGCCCCGTTACCCAGGGCGCCAGCAGCAGATGGTAGGGCGCCAGGCAGAGGGCGAAGACCAGCAGGAGCCCCAGCACCATGGTCCTGGCCGCGCGCCGGTGCGGACCGGCTGGGGCCGGGCCCGGGCCCAGGCCCGAGGGCGAGGCGAGCGCCCGCGCCAGGCTCACGTAGGCCGCGAGCACCAGCAGGAAGGCAGCGGTGAAGAAGGCCACAGTGGCGTAGGCTAGGCCGGCGCGTGCCCAGCCGCGCTCCAGGCAGTGGCCGCCTTGGGCCCGGGCCGGTGCACGGAGCCGCAGCGGCACACGCTGATGAGCGCCGCGAAGGCCACGGCCGCGTAGGTGGACACATAGTAGGCGGCCCCAGCCGCGCGGCAGGCGGCCTCCGGGAAGGGCCAGTGGGCCGGGCCCAGGTAGTAGGTGAGCCACAGCGGCAGCGTGAGCGTGAAGAGCACGTCGGCCAGGGCCAGGTTGAGCAGGTAGAGACGCAGGGCCTGACCCAGGCGCCTGCCGCTGCGGACGAACACTGCCAGGGCCGCCACGTTGGCCGGAAGCCCCAGGCCCAGCGCCAAGGCATAGGCCGCGGGCACCACAATGAAGCGAGCAGGGTCGTCCCAGGGGCTGCAGCCGCCAACACCCAGGTCCCCCACGCTCCTGTTCATCTCGGACCTTGGACTAGCAAGAGGAAGAGGGGTCACTGTGGAAGCCAGCCGCACAAGAAGCCCTCCGTCCCGCCTTTCCTCGCCAGACCCCAGTCCTCCTTCCACAGTCCGGGGTGGGAGGATTCTAGAAGCCGGGAAGCCGCGGTGAGGGGCTGAGGAATTAGCTCCCGCAGGAGGTGGAGTAGAGGGGACTCCAGAGTTAGTAGAATGAGCTTGGTGAAAGATGTGGGAAATGAGGACAGGTCAGGAATCCCAGATAGCTTGGAAATTTTCCACCTTGGTGACTGGGAAGGTGAAGTGCCTGCCCCCTTATAGGTGGAGTAGGGTTCCACTTTGTGGGGCACAGGCATGTGCATTAAGCCCCAGCAAGGCTGAGCCAACAGGAAGTCACAGAGAAACCAGGGTGGAATACAGACTCCTTCCCCGAAAAAACCCAAGCCTTCAGCTCCGGTGTCACCCAGGTCAGGAGGGGAGAGGCATGGATGGAGTTGCGGCCATAGGATGCAATGACCCAGGAGACAGACCCATGCACAGTGACCTTGGACTTACCTTGGTGAATGTCCTCTCTGAGTCTTGCCTGGAGCACCTTGGGCAGGGCTGAAAAGGTTTCACATCTCAGGCCTTCCAGCCTGTTTCCTTCCTCCTCATCTTTTGACCACAAAGAAGGCCGGGGTCTGATTTGGAACTTTGGACAGCAAAGCAAATGGAGCACAGGCCCAGGAATCAGGCAGATTCTAGATACACACATTTATCTGCCATGTGACCTTGGGCAAATTACTCAGCTTCACAGAGCCTGTCTTCTCTGCTGTAAAATGGAGATTAAAATACCTACCACCTCACAGGGTTGTTCGGAGGATTATGAGAAAACATAAGTAAAACTCTGAGCCCTGGCTGACACTGGGGAGATACTTCATAACCATTAGCTCCCTTCCCCTCTAGGCAGCACACAGATAAATGTGTACACCCACACAGGCACACACACAGCGTTAGAGACAGACTCCTCAGTCAAACAGCACAAAGACATCTGGGCATACTGCCCCTCTCCCCAAGGGGGGATAAGCGCACAAGCCCATGTCCTGTTCCTATTTTTGGCACACAGTCCCACTCCTAGGGTATCCCAAAACTTGGTTCCTCTGATACCAAAATTTGTACTTCTGCCTTTGAACTTCTCAGGCTCATCCTTTCTGAGATCCTGAATGAGTCTATCCCTTTCTCCCCCTCCCTCTAGGCTCTGTCCGCCACGTCTCTGGCCCTCCACTTCCCCACCCTGAACCTCTCCCTGCCTTCCCACCAGATCACTCCTACCTTCCCACCAGATCACTTCTACCTCTTGCTGCTCCGGCTGCTACAGCTCTCTCTGGGGCCGGGGGTCTAAGGAGCTGAGACAGCAGAATCCACTCCCACCCACACATCCTAGACCCTCCCATCAACCAACTAATCCTAGACAGGACATGAAGAATGGGAGCAACAGCTGGAGGGGCAGGGGTCCACCTGTGGCAGCTATGAGTGGGGTCTGTGGGGTGTAGCCAGAGCCCCAAGGGAAAGCAGTATCATTGCAAGGCATGGGGCACAGGGAGGGAGATGGAAATGTGTAAGGAAGGCCTTGCTGCTGAATGTTGTTCTGCTGACCTGACCGATGCTTAGGCTGTGGTTTGGGGAGGGAGGTGCCATTTCCTAAGGCCTGGCTTCTCCGACTGAGGCAGCACTGCTAAAGCTGAAGATACTCCTGCTGCTGTCAATCCTAACTACTCCTCCATACCAGCTGGCCAGCCTACTTCTCCAGCACCCCGCCTTTCCTGCAGCTGCTGGTTGGGCCCTAGACTCAAGCTTGCAGGGCCCTGTAGCTTCTAATCAGTATACAGGCCAGGCCTTGGTAAACAGGAGCCTTCAATCTAATGCCAGCTGTGAGAGATTTTACTCAAAGTCCTGGCTGGAGACAGGCTGGCTGTGGAATCCTGGAAGGGGTGGAGATGGGAAGAGGCCGGGCTCCTAGGGTGTCCAGGCTCTACTTTCAAGGGCTTCAAAATATCCATGCAGAGGGGCAATTCTGGGAAGCAATGCAGATTTCATTACGTTAGACCGATCATCCCATTTACCTTCAAGTTGAAGAGCAAGGGTGCCACGCCTGCCCACTTCTGACTTTGGCAGCTGGTGCGGGGGGACGTGTGGGTTCTGGAGTCAATCAAGCCTTAATTCTAGTCTCAGCACTGACACGTGGGCACTTAAGCTTTCTGAATCCATTTTCCCATCTGTAGAACCTGCTATTTAATAACAGCATTTACTGAGCACTTATTATGTGCAGGCACTGTTGTAAGCACTTTAACTCACTAAGTCTTCACAGCAACTCTATGAAAATATTTGCCATTATTATCCATATTTTGCAAATAAGTGGTAAGAGGCACTACCTACTCTCTCCCTTCTCTTTGCTGACCATTTGACCAGTATGGGTAAATCTTAACTAGTTAAGTCCATCATGGGAATTCCATTCCCCATGCCAGTGATTGGTCTAAGAATGGAAATGTGACATAATTCTGCAGAGTGGGATATGAGGGGAAACCTAGGGGTCTTCTAAAAGAGCTTTCCTCTCTCTTTTCATCTTGGTATATTACATGCAAATGTGTTGTCTGGAGCTGCTGCAGCTGTTTTGTAATCCTGAGGTCAGTAGTCATAAATTGAAAGCAGCAGAGGACAAAGTTGAAAGAATATCAGTCTGGTGTCATGGTAAAGCAGCCAAAATATGCAACATTGAAACTGAAGCTATGTTATCTCTGGACCTGGCATGACAGAAAAAGTTTTCTTATTGTTTTGACACTCTGTATATGTAGTGGGTTTCCCAGATGGCTCAGCAGCTGAAGAAACTACCTGCAATGTAGGAGGCACAAGTTTGATCCCCAAGTTGGGAAGATCAGCCAGAGAAGGAAATGGCAACCCACTCCAGTATTCTTACCTGGAGAATTCCATGGCCAGAGAAGCCTGGCAGGCTACAGTCCTTGGGGGTCACAAAGAGTCAAACACCTCTGAGCAGCACCAGCGCAGGTAGTATATATATGTGTGTATATGTATATATATATATATATATATACATATATATATATATACACACACACACACACCTACTATAGATAGATTGCATCACTGTGTTTTCAGACACCAGACCTAAGAGTGCCAGTTGGCCTGAGGTTCCCAGCTTGTCAGTGTCAGAGCAGAAATTACCATTCTATAGTGAAGATGAAATGGAGTGATATACACAGATTTCTTTTACTTCTGTGGGCTCCCAAAAGCCACGGTCCCTACCCCCAAAAGCAATTTGTAGGCTGGTGGCTAGAGTATTTGTATATATAAATGAACTTTTTTTTCTTCACTATTTCCCTTGATAGGAAGCACATCATTTCCCTACCTAGGTGAAGATGGTTGGTGATATGACAGTAGGCATCCTAACACAGTCACTGGTCCTTGAGAACTGTCTCACACACACACACACACACACTTCTGACTCCCTAGGGCTTTGGGATTCATCTCAGGTTTCCGGCACTGCTTTAACATGCAGCACCTTTTGGAGTTGGCTGTCCCCTGCCTCTACACAGATGTCCGGGGAGCACTGCCCTGAGTGCCCTGGCGGTTTCAGATCCTGTAAAATGACGACTCAGTGCCCATTTTTGTTAGCTTTGTGACTAAAGTGCATGAGATTAAAAGGAATGGGAGGGATTATCTCATGTGGCTCAGCAGGTCAAAGCAGGTATTCTTAATATTCTGCCATACTCAGTGTGTAAATTCTAAGCTTATAATAAAATCTTAAAAACATGCATGCCTTTTGAATCAGCACCCTCACTTCAAAGGAAAGAAAATAAGTATGCAGAGGTGATTTACTGTGAGGTTTACAATAGCTAAAAAATTGGGAACAATCCAAATGTTCCTAGTGGGGGCTTTTATAAACACATCACACTGCACCCTTACAGTGGAATACTATGCAACCATTAACATCAATGAGGTAAAATAGACATGCGATGGTATTAGTTACAGTGTATTAGGTTTAGAAAGCAAGTAAAATAAAGCAGTACATAGAGCCTCATTTTCATTAAAAATATATCTGAATAAAGACACAGAAAAAAGCTGGGGGGTACAGTTATACAAAGGAATTGAAAGTATCAAGTTATTTGGGGGCATTAAAAGTTTGGGTGATTTAAATTTACTTTCACATGACATGAAGAATGCTAAGAGTGTGCAACATGGACTCTCCAAAAAAAAGAGCAGTAAAATGTCCGAGAGAAAGCAGGGCCAGGTAGACCAGATGTCTACGTCAACACTGGCCACCCCAGTTTGTATGAGCAACAAGGTGACGTTCTATGTTCCATCATGTTCTGCTTTGACAGTGACATGGCCTGAAGGGGCAAGAGACACTCTACTCCCAAGATTCCGTGAATGGACTTGGAGACTTCTTCCTAGTGGGTCTGGACATCTTTTCTGGTTAGGACTTAGAGCTAACAGATATCCAGCAGCAGCAGGAGCCCCAGGCAGACGATGGCTGGGATGCAGGTGTTCAGTGACTCTTTTAGAGACATCAAAGTGAAGATAGCCCCTAAAATGGAAAATGAGGTTCCTGAGGCTCCCTGGGAATGCCTGGGAGACCCAGGAGATCAGAGCCCTCAAGCCAAGGCTGACCCACTCCAGCCTAAGCCCTCTCTTGAACACTGCCCACCCCCCGACACACACACCCTAAACCAGCTGTTCTCAACCCTCTGATCCCCCAGAAAAAGCAGAACCAGAAATCAGAAGTTTCTTAAACTAACACAGCCCCTCTCAGATAAAAAAACAGGAACAATCCAACCAAACAGGGCAGGGAGTGAGCAGGTGGGCATTTTCTGAAGGATCAGATGGTCCCTGATCCTTCTCCTTTCTCAACCCCAGTAAAGGGAAGGGAAGGCCCAGGGACTGGTGGCGGATGTGGTGGGGAAGAGCTGAAAGTGGGGCAAGCTGCGGAGATGGAAAGAAACCCTAGAAGAAGGGCAGGAACGCCAGCAGCAAGAGTGACACAAAGCCAGGGATACAGAAGAGCCTGAAGATGTCCAGCCTTTGAAGCAGCAGCTGTTCTTGTACACTGGCAGTTCCTGTGGGGAGAGCCACTAAAAGGGGGCCCTCCAGGAATCATCTGCCTTTCTGTTCAGGGGGCCCAGCTTTCTTGCTGATCCCACCTGCCAGACACATGAGTCCAGTGGCAGCTGCTACTTCCTCCCCTCATCTCAGAGTAGGGGGTGAAGAGAAAGGGGTAGGGGCTTTTAGGTTCCAATATATCCTTATGACAGAAATACCATGCAGCCAATAGAACTGCTGACAGTTGTTATAAGTTTTAAAAGCACCTATCCTAGTCTGAAGACCATGGAAACGGCAATTGAGCAGAAAGTGCTTCTGGTTCCAGAGAAAAAAGGGTGGCGACAGTAAAGAGAACAGTCAGATTTTTTCCATCACCCTCCCCCAGAAATCCCCATTTCACCAGCCCAGTTGTGCCCCACCCCCCTTACCCATCATGAGCAGCGTCAAAAGCAAGTTACTCATCTCTTGCAGGATCGGTGGGCCCAGGACCAGGAGCAGCCCCGCCAGCAGTTCCAGCCAGCCCACAGCCACTTGGTAGCTCATGGGATCTGGCTGGTAGCCGAACACCTTCAGTGGAAACACCTCAGCGAATTGCACGAACAGGGCTTTCTAGGGGTGGCAGGGAATGCCTGTCAGCCACAGTCACCAAGGATCCACTGCCCAGATGCTCCGCAGGAGCATTCTGTGCCAGCACCCTTAACTCCCCCAGCAAAGGGGCCACTACTCTAGGCCAGGGCCAGGGCTGACATCAGCCAGCCTGGAAAGGAGAGTGCCTCCCTGAGGGGCTGAGCTTTGGCATCAGAAAACAGACTTTATGCTCCAAAAAGGGCTGAACTTTCTCACAAGATTACAGCCCAGCCCCAGGTTCCAGGAAGAGGAAGCTAGGCTTGGGTCTTCTCATCTAGTACCAAGGCTTCGTAACTTCATGACTTCTCTTTGCTTCTGCCTGGCCTGGTTTCTCTTCAGGCTACTATGCAGGGAATATTTGGAGATGAGGGAGGAGATGGAAGGAGAGATTTTTTTTTGTTCGTTAAACAGATTCTACTGAGTATCTTCTGCTGGGACCCGGATCTCACTGCAGCAGACAGAGGAGGTGACGGGTTCAGAGTGAGTGACAACACTGAGTTACACTCTGTCCTGGGCCACATGTCTCACCTGGACCCTTAGAGTGGCTACTCTTTCCTGCTCCCCAACCTCATTCCTGCCTCCCCTACTCAGGGGTCTAAGGAAGAAACTCGAAGCCGTCCGGCTGTTTGGATGTTTCCCCAAACCACCGACCCTAAGCCAGGCCGAACGGGGGCAGCGGCGGGGAGGTGGGGTGTACTTTGTCTAGAAGTCTGGCTGGTTTAAGGGGCTAAGGGTGGATCGGTGGGCAGAAGGACATTTCAGCATTCCCGAGTGTGGAACTAGACTGGGAGCCGAGGGGGGACTTCTGGGCCTCCCTCTCGGGCTCTGGGAAGGACTCTGGATTCTCAGTTCAGTTCAGTTGCTCAGTCGCGTCCGCCTCTCTACGGCCCCGCGGACGGCAGCACGCCAGGCTTCTCTAAGTTAGTTGGGAGGGTCTAAAGTTTGGGCCCTGCTTCCTGACTGACCAGCTGTGTAACTTCTAGCAGATATACTCCACCTTCAGGGAAAGTTTCCTATCCGGCCAAGCGGGGATTAGTTAAACCTCTTCCTCCTGAGCTTTCTGAGAACTCAAGCAAACGCAGGAGGGCAGCGAGGGAGCTCGGTCCTACTCTCTCCCGCAAAGGGTCCCCGAGCATTCCTCTTCCGGCTCTAGATTTGCCTGGAAGGGGATACCCGACGGGAAGGGGATGGCAGAGAACTCGGAGAACTCCCCAGGCCGGTGCCCAGGTGTACGCCGCGGGGCAGGCGGTCTCCCCCAGCGCCAGCGCCGTCTAGCCCGAAGGCAGGCGGGTCCGCGGGGCGCGGGCAGGCGGGGCGGGGGCCGGCAGGACACCGGGGTAACGGCCGGGGTTGCAGCCCCCGCTGCCGCGCGGTCGATTCCCCCGCCCGAACGCCCTCCGCCCACGCCGCGCCGCTCACCATCTGCTCCGACACCGGAGCGGAGATCTGCCCCGAGAGCTTGGCCGCCCCCGTGAGCGCGAAGAAGCTGCCCAGCAGCACGCGCAGAGCGGTGAGCGGGAGCGCCATGGCCGCGCAAGCACGCGGGCCGCGCCCGCCCCGGGGTAGGCGCCGCCGAAAACCCGCCCCCCGCCGCCCGGGCGTTGCCTCCCTCCCCGGGCGGCCTCGCCTCCCAGCGGCGCTGCCTCCCTCCCTCCGCCCCACACCCGCTGCGAGAAGAGCCGGCGCTGGGCAGGGCGTCCCCATCTCACAGCTGGGGACACTGATGCCCGCTTGCTCTTAACTGACACTAGACGGTCCCTTCTGAATTCAGGGAAAGTTTCCCAGCCAATATGGACAGAGCCGAAGACAAACATGGGTATCTGGACGTGGCTTGCAAAAGAGCTCCTTTTGGGTCAAAAGCCGTTGGTGGGTCGGGGGGAGAGGGGGTCGCTCCTGCCCCTGTCACACTAGCTTGGCGATCGGAGCTGTCACCTAACCTCAGCGGGCCTCAGTGGTGTCCCCATCTGAAATGCGGAGATACAGCACAACGTCTGGCACGAAGAATTATTTGTAAATTATTTGTGAAATTATTAGGAATAAATCAATTGCTAGTGGTTATAAAATAAGCTGTTCCTTATCTTTGCCTGAAATATATTTTCCCTCTAATATCTCTCGGTGAAATTACAATGTGAAAGGTGTTTGAAAATTCAGCTATGTGCAGCGGTGGGTAGAGATGTTTTCACTGAACAAAACCCTACAGTCCACTCCTGGCCCATTTTCTTTTACCAAAATCTATCTAAACCTGCATGAGAAAACTATGACAAATTCAGAAACCGCTTTTTTTTTTTTTAACTCCCTCTCCCCCAGCTAACAATGCTTGTTTACATTTTTTAATGATTTAAAAAAATTTTTAAGGTAGCTTTCATGACACTTGAAAATATATGAAATTCATATTACAGTGTTCATAAATAAGTAGCTTTATTGAACCACAGTTTGTGTACTGTCTACTGCTGCTTTTGTGATGCAACAAGAGATCTGAGTAGTTCCCACCTTACTGCCTGCAAAACCTAGAATATTCACTACCTGGCCTCTTATGAGAAAGATTTGCTAAACCAGGTGTAGAGAGCCAGAGAGGCCCCTAACAGGGGTCTCAAATTCTCCTGCTGCTTCCATTTCCTGTTAGCCAAGCTGCTTGGATCTGGTTTTCTATCTACCCACAACCTGCTGGGTAGGTAGCCGGCTGGCTGAAACCAAAATGTCCTATGTGTTTCTAAAGGCCAAGCAGTTTGAACATCCAGGTGTGTTAACTATTACATTATAAACTGGGCCTTTCACTGAGTCCCTTTGCTGTCCACCTGAAACTAATGACAACATTGTTAATTGGCTATACCCCAACGAAAAATAACAAGTTTAAAAAAACCACCAGCCAAAAAAAAAAAAAAAACTGGCCCTTTCATTACCTTTGTCACTAATCCAAATGACTGATCCATCAATAAAATAGCTAAATTCTCTACCTTGGACTATTAAAATTATATATAATTATGTATAAATGCATAATTATTAAATTCCTCAACAAAAAATTATTAAAGCACATATTTAATCACCGAGAACACATATCCACATTAGGAAATTATATTTTTGGATACTCATACAAAATTTAACACAAAATTATAGACTTTGATAATAAGGAATATGCAGATTACTATTCTTTCTCCTTTACCAACTTTTCTATCCTCGGAATTAAAGATGTGACAGCAAGTCGTAGTGCAGGGCCAGAAACCAACAGACTTCTTTGTTTTGACTCAGTCAATGCTGAAAAGGTAGCATCACATAAATAAATAGTTGAAAAAGGTAATAAGAATTTCATTGCCTTTTCATGGAGTTCTGGGTAACTTGCCTTTGCGTTTATCCAAAACTGAGTTACAGACATCGATTTAAATACTGATTGTAACCTTAAATCTGATGATAATTGTGCTAATTTTTCTTCTTCAAAGTCCGTGAGATTACTATTTTGGTGATTTGTAAAAGGATTAATTATCCACAAATTTCCTGAACGCAAGTCTGCTTCTGGTGGATAACAGTCATTGAGCATTTGAGAAAGTCCTTCCAGATGCTCTAATATAATGCTTGCCATACCGCTCATATTTAAGCCTGATGAGCTTGAGAATTCAGAAAATGAAGGGAACATGTCATAATCATTCTCCTGTGTGCGCTTCAACCACATTTTTAACTTTTTCTTAAGCATATCAATTTTATTATACAAATTGAAGAGAGTAGTCATAGTTCCTTGAAGACTTAAATTTAATCCATTTATAAGTGAAAAAATATCTGATAAATAGGCCACCTTTGCAACCCATTCCTCATCAAAAAAATACTTGGCCAAATCTGAGTGTTTCTGATTTAAAAATATTTCAATTTCATGTCGTAGTTCAAATAATCTTGTTAAAATTTTTCCTCTTGCTATCCAACGTACTTCAGCATGAAGTGGTAAATTCACGTGCTCAGAGCCCATCTCTTCACACAAAATTGTCAACATTCGTGAATTCAACGCATTGCTCTTTATAAAGCTTAAAATTTGTGCTGACTGCAAAAGAATTTCATGTAAGCATGGAGACAACTTTTCTGCTGCTAAATGTTCACGGTGAATGAAACAATGTGTAAATGCCACTGTATTCGTGGCAACTTCTTGAATTTTTGCCCTTAAACCAGAACACCTACCAGTCATGCTTGCAGCCCCATCTGTACAAACACCAACACAATGCTTCCAATTCAGAGATTTACTATCAATATATTTATTTATTAGCTCAAATATTTCAAAACCCGTCATTTGGGAAGGTATTTCAATGCAACATAATAATTCTTCTTTTATATCACTACAACCATAATCAATGAAACGAATATAGCACAAAAGAAGTGTGGTATTTGAGATGTCTGATGATTCATCTATCTGAAGGGCAAACCACTTTGACTCTCTGACTTTTTGAATCAGCTGATCTTCAATGTCTGCAGACAGTTCATCAATCCTGTGTCCAATTGTATTATTAGAAAGAGGAATGGTTTTCATCTTGTCTCCAGCACTGGAACCCAAAACTTCTGAACACATTTCTACTAAATATGGTTTAATTAATTCTTCAGCAATGGAAAATGGCTTTTTGCTGGCAGCAATTTGGAAAGCAATTAAATAAGAAGCTTTCACAAGTGACTTTTCAACTAGTAAACACTTTTTTAAAGCACTGTTTTGACATTCCATTTCAAGAGATTTTTCTTCAAAAAAATCTACTGGTTTGTTTTCTAATTCCGAATGCTTTGTCTTCAAATGATGAGAAAGATTTGCTGGCTTCATGTTTTCACTGGATAAAATTTCTCCACAGATGACACACTGTGGCCTTGGTGAACTTTCTTTTGATCCCGGACAGATAATAAAACCAACTTTTAAATAATCCGCATCGTAAGTCTGGAAAAAACCTATTCTTTTTTTCTTTGCAGGTGGAGAATCAAGTTCCACATCATTTTTCTCATTAGGCATAGATAAATCTGAATGAAATATTTGAATCAGTTATTTTCAAGAATAAGCAATTTATGTTTATCCCCCAAGCATTTAAAATCTATATTTTGTTACTATTTATATTTGCCAAGAGCATATACTAATTAAGGTTTAAACACAAACCATAATACTTCCATGATGCCATTTAGCTGAATTTGTTTGTTCAAAGCTTGGTCACTCACAGTAGTATTAATAAGGCTGTAGGCAGTGGTACATGTCCTAGCAATGCAATGTATTCAATACATTAGTGGAATTAGGGCTGATGTCTACAGAATATACCAAGTTAAAAATAAACTATTTTACTTTTTAAAAGATGTGGGGATGGGAGTTAGAGGAGAAAAAAAATGTTGAAAAAAGTTAATATTTAGTGCATCTAGATGAAGGGTATATTCATTGTGTATATTCATATATTCATCCAAGGGTGTTCACTGTGCTGTATTTTCAATCTTTCCAAATTTTGAATTTTTCACAATTAAAGTTGAGGGGAAAGGGGTTCCATACCCAGTGTCAATGAAAGTGCAAGAAATGGATGCTCTCAAACATTGCTGGCTGGAGCATAAATTGATATAACTTTTCAGGAGGGTAATTCTGCAATAACACATCAAAATCTAAGCCTTAAAAATCTATGATAGCTTTTGAATCAGTAATCCCACTACTTAGGATTTATCCTAAGGACATAATTATACAAGTGGAGAAAGATCTGTTTATACACCCTTAACTCAATACTGTTTATAATATTAAAAAACCAGCAGCAATCTAAATGTTCAACCTTAGGAGGATGGATATACATTATATATATATCCATATGTTATATACATTGGAATCTATGCATCCATTAAGAATCTCAATATATATTTAAATTTATGTTGATATGAAATGTTTTCATGCAATGTCAAGTAAAAAAGTAGTTTACAACAGTATACAGAAAACATCCTAATACTTAATCTAGAAATTCAAAAAATGTAATAAACACACACATACCCACATATGTAGCTGAACACAGATCCCTTACTACCTTTCATATGTGGATGTGTATTTAATATAAATTCAGGTAAACAAAGAGTGTATCATTTTAACAGGAATATAAAACAAATCAGATTTACTGAGAAAGGAAAACAGAATTCTCCTTGACTCCTACCAAAAGAAAGGCATCCTACATAAAATCTCATGGTTAGCTGTTGACAGAGTAAGCTTTTAAATATAGTATATTCTGTGAAGTAAAATTATCATTAAAAAGAAATATTAAGAACAGTTTGGGGCAGTATAGTTATGGCTGAGTCCCTTTGCTGTCCATCTGAAATTATCATAATATTGTTAATTGGCTATATACGCCAATATAAAATTAAAAGTGTTAAAAAAAAGTTTCAGGCAGAATAGGCTATCAAAGTACCTGAAAATATAAGGGTAGTGGGATTAAAAGCAGTTAACAAGGATTGGGGCAAGAGTGTACAACATTTTCAAATAATTTTCCTGATCACCAATACCTCAGACATATAGTTATACTTCTAGTAAATTAATTCACAGTGTTTAAAAAAGAACCAAGGTTAAACCACTAATGCTTTT